ATGGCTTGTTACACATTGGGGTGTTTTATACAAAAATACATGGGAAACACATTTTCATATAATTTTGCAGTCATTATAGACATAGATAGACATAGTCAGCATACTATGGCATAAGGTTAAAAAACTATTAATGGATTACTAAATAAGTTGACTCTTTCAATATTAACTTGTTAAAGCCCTACAGTAGTCGCCTAATTGTTATTGTAATCATCAATTTAAAAAGGCCAGGATTTGTATGATTTTTTGTAAGTTAAAACAACAAAAATCAGAAGCCATGGAGAAAATTAGATCTATTTAAGATATATTTACTTTGAGAGTCAAGTGAGATCAAACACACTCACATGTTTAATCATTAACCTTATTGATACTGTTTTATTGTGTGATTTTATGCCTAATGTGTTGTGAGTGCAGTGAAGTTTAGATCAGATCCTCCGAGACAACTGCTGCTGTGACAAAATCTCTGACATTGTCACATTATCAGCGGTAATCAACAATAGAGCATTTAAGAGTAAAGATTATTGTGGGGAAAAAACATGTGAGCTACTATTTCGAGGTTTGGATCATGTCTAGCAGGACTGCCAATTGAGAACAATATAGTGATGTTAATAAAGGGAAGCGAGGCAGATGAAGGAGGGGGTGCCAAAAGAACCATCCATTCAAACAGGGATTCCAAGATAAATGCTTCTTATCCACCAAGCACAGAATAATTGACATGAAATGGTTGAGCGAAATTTTTTTAGAAATAAATTACTCTGAGATAATTTCCTGTATACATTTTCTGAACATTGTTGCTCTTCTCTTGACACACCTCCTCCTCATGTAGGTCTGGGCGCTTATTTGAATCAGCAAATACATTATAGAACGTATATATTTTACTTATACCAAATAGCATAAGCATATTTATTACCAACCCCCCGTACACTGCACTTGTAAGATATTTTATAACGCATTGCAATACAACATAAAACAACCTTTTGAGAACATTCCAGAGATATTCCAATATGGCTTGTAAGTTTGTAAATTGTCACTATCTGACAACATGGAAAGCAGCTTCTTTTAGACACACAAAGAGCATTGTGATAGATGCAGTGACTTCCCGTATGCACAAACAGTCTATATTTGATCAGATATTTGGTCGGACAATGGTTTGTGCAGAGCCCGTTTGGGTAACACAGACATATTATCTCAGCGGATTACAATCAACCCCCTAATTTAGTGCAATATTTTCATGTGAAGTGTCAATCAAGCAAACAGGTCCCACGAGACATTGCTTTTTAAGGCTTTCATGTTTCTTAATGGATAGCTGAATCTCAGAATTACTGCCAAGGCGCACATTAGCCGATATGAAATGAGTTTTTGATGAAGTCCTCGCACAAAAGAGTAAAATATATGGCAAGCCTGAGTGGGACTATATATCTTTGATTCTCTGTGGACGATTTATTTTCATTCATGGCTGGTCCGTGCTCCGGCCCTGCCCCCTCCCCACCACCCTATTTTGCGAGCTCTTGTTTTGGGAAGTTGATGAAATTTGTCTTTGGTCGTCATTAGCTCGCTCCCCATCAGCTGCCACTCTATTAGCTGCCACGCTTCCTTTAACAACATATGGCAGGGCTGTGTAGGATGTGACAGGATGCAAATGCGTTGCTTAAATGCGTGCGGTGATGGGGCAGGAGGGGGAGGAGGGGGGTGATTGGGTGTGACTGCAGAAGTGGGTGGGGTGTATTGATTATTTTGAAGCAGAAATGAACAATAACAAAGCAGGTATTTGAAGAAACGTTCAAATCCGGTTTTCATGGTGTCTAATAACTATTCACTTTCAACACATGAACTATAGATGCATTCATTGTGTTGTACATTTGTATTGTTTTTTACGGAACCGTTCCAAAATATCAGATTAATTGTATTGAATTGAAAGTTCCCAGTATCTAGATATGAATCATGTTATGCAAGATACCCAGATTCTTGATTAATCTGTCTTTTTTCTTACATTTTCAAATCTGCCATTGGAATATTAACACATTTCTAAAGTCCTTCAAAATGACTGCTGTATAAAAAATGCTTTGATTTGATATCAAATGTGTGAGCTTGAGAGGTAGGGGTAGAGATATTTATAACTCCCATTAGTCTCTAGCGAGCAGGGACAACTTTTACAGGAATCTCTCACAGATAAAAAAGCACTACAGCAAAGTGATACATTTGACTAATATTGATTTTACAAAAGAAAGTACAAAAAAAAGTACAAAACATGAAATTTGATATTTCTAAAGTCATTCATGTGAAAAACACAAAATAGACAAATAAGACTGCTGCATTTTTTAGTAATTAGTCCAAATTGATTGCTTCAAATGAAAAATACAAAACAATAAACATCAAACCATTTTGGCTTAAAATGATGAATCAAATGTTTTCATCTTGACGCAAAATTGAAAAACAAAACTTAATCGACACGCTTAGGGAATTTCATCACAACACTGCTTTTTGTCGTTGGCCGATTTAATTAACCGCTGAAGTCGATACCATGCGGTCAATAGAGAAACACATTTATTTATTTCTTTACAATCATGAGAAAACTTCATCAATCCCGCTCCGAAACTCGCATCTTCATTTTCATATATCGATCCGCGCTGATGGGATTACACGGGCCGCCAGTCCGCAGTGCGCTCTGATCCCAGGGGGGCATGTAAATAGCCTGCGTGTGTCCAACTCCATGCTCTCCCCCCCTTCTTCTTTTTTCTACTTACCCCTTTCTCCCCCCACGCGCCCCTCCACTCGCTGTCCAAGCTGTTAAGCCGTCCAGCTCCTCTCCTCTTTGCCAAGCTCTCGTGTGAAGTCGGGCCAAACTAAACACAGGCACGCAGCCCGCCACTTGCAAAGCATACACACACAGACACAGACACACACACACACACACACACGGGCATTTAGAAGACATCCATATACATTTGTACGCACATGCCCACTCTGGCTACAGCAAAGCCAGGCAGGTCATGAGCCGCCCTATGCAAAACAGCCAGCAGTGACAACTTGTGGAGGAGATGGCCCTTGCTAAGAGCAGAGAAAAGCAGACAGAATCACTAAACGAGCTCCTCATTAAGTTGGCCTGACCCTTTCTCACTCCCGCGGGGGTGGGGAGGTGGACGGGGGGGGGGAGCCAAAGCGATCGCGCTGCCGCCAAAACTGTTTCCTCTGCGAGACTCGATCCAACCTCAGTTCCAGCTCGCCCGTGCGGAGGCCACGTGTGTCAAGTAGTACTACACTGGACTGAGCGTAGATTGATTAAAGCGTCTGACTGGATCCTGCCCCTCAGTGAATTTAAGCTTCATCGCCCTGGCTTCTTTAATAGCGACACACATTTGCTCTTTACAAATTGAATAGTGGAACAAATTTCTATCAATAAAGTACTTAAGATGAAGGTCAGTTACCCTTATAAGTGTGTAGACGGCGAGCAAGTGAGACTCCTCCCCCCCATTTTGATTTCAAATCCTTGAAAAACAGCTGAGGTCTAACTATTCCCCTTCAGTAAATCTGACTGGTGATGGTTGTGCCAAGGAGAGGGGCTGTTATGAATCTATGGTCATATGGTCAAAAATATGAATTATTTTCAAAATGGATTACAAATGAAGTCGCAAACATCACATTTAAGCGCTGACGGTGAAAGCTGGAGTACTTTTGTTGTTGTTATATAAATAAATGGTTTGTCCCAACAGATGGAGTCTACCACAATATTTAGTGGACAAATCAGACCACAATTCTTTAAAAAAAACATGTTATCTTTAACACACTGAGAGCTGATTGGAAGAGAGATGGTCGGTTCTCTCTTTATGACTTTTCTGTCTGATAAGAAAGGCCAAAAACTAGCCATACAACTGATTTTTATTGTGGTTCCAAAATTAGGTACCCTGGCTTTAAAAGTATTTGCAACCAGTTCCCATAAGTATTTTTTTGATTTTCACACAAACCTCACGTTCTCTTTGTGATTTTGTGACTATTGTCTGTTAAGTTGAAATCTCTTTATTAACTGCAGTCAAATACAGAGAAAAGAGAAGAATAAGGCCCATAATCCAATATCATTAGATGAGACCGGTTCAATACCAGAGGGGGGCCATCTTGGCGTGTGCGTGTGTGTGCGTTTTACATTCTTTGACAATGGGTGGCTTTGAGGCAGTCGGCCATTTTAAATGTCCTTGATCACGTAAGATTTTAGACAAGAATACTCTTGTATCTCTTCGTGTTTACCCTCGGGGGCTTCTCTGGGGCCACTGTACCAACTTGACTCGGCTTTGCGGTAGCTGCTGATGATAAAGTAGATGCAGATGGCTTGCAAGCACAAACATATATGGAAATACTCAGTGCTTTTTTCATTGCTGGTCTGTGTTGAATCTCATGAAACGCAAGTAAGCAATCTCTAAGAGTCACAAGATGGCTTATACCACTGTGACTGATAAATTAATTTGCTGTTATAAAGCCTGGCCAGTTAAAAGGGTAATTTGTCTAGGAGTAATGCAGGGTTAGTGTTAGCCACCACAAATCTTTTACTGTTGTATATTTGCTACACTAAACACTGGAGGGCTTCAATGTTTACACATCATCTCCATCATCTCTTCTGTCTCTCCTTTGTGTGCCCGTCGTCTCCTCTGATTCCACCCTCTCTCTGTCACTCCATTCTTTTTTTGCCCTACCTTCTTTTTTTTTCCTCTCCTTTAACACGGTGCGGTTTTTCAATAGCATGCTTCTCCTGTCTCCGTATGGAAATGACAGAGCAGACGAGATGGATCTGTATATTAAAGCCTAGCTGACATTAGAATTTGCATAATGTGTCATGGCCTTGGGGCTGTACCCACCATCTGCATTAGCCTGTAGTCACACACCCACCACGGCACACACGGGACCCTTTCCACAAACACACTCACAGCTCAAGTTTATGCAAAGTTACAATCAATGGAAAGAAATGTTGTGGTGCCAAATAATGAACAAAACCTTCTCTTTCTTGTGTCATCTAGATAAAGATGAGCCGTCCAGCTACATCTGCACGTCGTGTAAGCAGACCTTCACCAGCGCCTGGTTCCTGCTGCAGCATGCTCAGAACACCCACGGAATCCGCATCTACCTGGACCACCACATGGCCCTCACCCCTCGCATGGCTCTCCCCCCTCCTCCGGGTGTGGAAGCCCTGCCCCGCTCTCCTCTTCCCACCTTTCTCGGAGACACATCCAACCCATTCCACCTCCTGCGCATGGCTGCACCCCTCCTCAGGGAACACCCCCCTCCCCCGGGGTACATGGAGACAAGGCTGCCGGCTACGCCACCTTTCGTCAGCCCACCTCCTCCCCCGAGACCTCCCCTCGAGCGGCTGGGCCCAGAAGAGATGGGGCTGCTGTCCCAGCACCCCAGTGCCTTTGAGAGGGTGATGCGAATGGCCCCCATGGACCCCCCCTCAATGGACTTCTCAAGGCGTCTGAGGGAGCTGGCAGGAAACACCAACAATGGCGGGCCCACCCCTCCCCTCTCTCCTAATCGAGTGCCACCCATGCATCGCCTGCTGAGTCCCACCCTATTCCAGCCAGGGTCTAAGCCCCCCGCCTTTCTCACCTATGCCCCGCAGCCTCCAACCTCGCAGGGCAGCCACAACTCCACCAGCCCATCTGATGCCCAGAACCAAGGCCAGGGTAAATCAAAATCTTGTGAGTTCTGTGGCAAAGTGTTTAAGTTCCAAAGTAACCTAATTGTCCACAGACGCAGCCACACCGGAGAGCGGCCGTACAAGTGTCATCTCTGTGACCATGCGTGCTCCCAGGCCAGCAAGCTCAAGAGGCACATGAAAACACACATGCACAAGTCTGGATCCATGAGCGGCTCCCCAGAACAAGGGTCCAAAGGTGAGGGAGAGGGGGAGGACAAAATGAGAGATGGCGAGGGTAGAGGAATGGGGCTGGACAATGATGAGGAGGAGGAAGAGGAAGAGGAGGAGGAGGAAGAAGAAGAGGAAGAAGAGGAGGAGTTGAGGAATGGCAGTCGCCCTGATTCAAACTTAAGTGAGGACTCCCAAGAGTTCAGCCAAAACAGAGAGAATGGGCAGAGGCAGTCCCCCGGTGCCAAAGCCTCGGGAGCGGACAGGATCGTGGAGAGCGGTGGTGTGGGCATCATGCACCCGTACAACCATCTGGACAATCATCTACGACTCAACTCTAACAAGAGAGGCCTGGACAGACAGACCAATGGAGATAGAGGAGAGCGAGGCGAACCACAGAGAAACGGAGAGCATGAACAGGAAAGAGAAAGGAACGAGCAGGAGGATCAGAGGCCTTTGATGAACGGCAGGATGAGTGTCTCTGAGGCAGACGCCTTCTCTGGCTTATTCCAGCGCCGGCCAACTCCCATTACCATCACCAGCCCATCCAACAACAAGAGGATCAAGATTGAGAAGGAACAGCTTGAGCTTCCCCCGACTATTCCCCTCATCTCCCCTGAGAATGTGTACTCCCAGCTCCTGGCTGGTTATGCTGCATCTCGACACTTCATTAGAGAACCCTTTCTGGGTTTCACTGATTCCCGCCAGTCGCCGTTCGCCACCTCCTCGGAGCACTCCTCCTCAGAAACTGGAAGCCTGCGCTACTCAACTCCGCCAGGGGAATTGATGGATGCAGGCAGCGCCTCAGGTCGCAGCAACAGCAGTACCCCTCATCTCCTACGGGGGCCTGGGCCCGGCAGACCCCCCAGCTCCAAAGACCGGAGGAATGACACGTGTGAGTACTGCGGCAAAGTGTTCAAAAACTGCAGCAACCTGACAGTGCATCGGCGCAGCCACACAGGGGAGCGGCCCTACAAGTGTGACCTGTGCAGCTACGCCTGTGCACAGAGCTCCAAGCTCACGCGCCACATGAAGACCCACGGCCAGTTTGGGAAAGAGGTGTACCGCTGTGACATCTGCCACATGCCCTTCAGTGTCTACAGCACGCTGGAGAAACACATGAAGAAGTGGCACGGGGAACATTTGATGGCCAGCGAGGTCAAACTGGAGCAGGCCGATAGAGGCTGAGCCCAAAGGCCACAGACACACATTCGCACACAAACTACAAACTGAACTCCCTCGAAGCACTCGGAGCTGTGGGGCCCGGCTGCAGAATCTCTATCCCTCTATGAGACTGATTCATGTTTGTCTTTTTCTTGTCACAAACTGCCACCTGAGAATATTAATAAAGGGAAACTTTTAAAGGAACACGTCAGAGAGCCAATCTTGGTATTTCCAGACAGACTGTCTGAGGATTTTATCAGTTAAGAATCCATGGAGCCTTTCTACTGTGCAATAATTTCTGTATTTATTGGATTTTTGTAATGATATTTGGCATGTGCAGGTACATCTTTGTGGGATTTCCTATGGAATTAGTTTTAAAAGTGTGCTAAAACAATTTTGTTTTTTAAAATATAACTGGAAGAAGTCACCCTTTTTAAATTTGTCATTTTTTTCCTTTAAGGAATTGTCATATGAGGGGAAATTGTGTAAAGCAGTAAGCTTTTAAAAAAAAAAAATCTGTTTTCTATTTAAATTGCAGCAGCGGACTACAATCCATGTCCTTTCCCAGGCCTAAAGCACTGAATGTCAGGCTGACAATAAAACTCCACCTTGGATTTAAAAAATCCAACCTGATAATTTTTCAGGGGATAATATATTTAAAATATTGGCATGCGACTATTCTGAAAATGCAGTTACTGTACTGCTGTCCCGAGTGCTACACAAAGGACATAAATAAATGGTTGCACTTCAAGAAGGAGCCCTGTCGCTCAGTACATTCCCAGCAGAGGTTTAACACCCTATGTAAAATGTTGAATAAGTTAAGACTACTTGTGATTAATGTGAGAACAGTCCTGTTTATGGTTTGTAAATAGTTTTGTTTTATATGTTCAAAAGTTGCCCTGAGTAGAAAGAGAAGGCCTAAACCTAAACAATCAGAGACCAGCTGCTTCATCGCTCACAGTATATGATACATCCATCTCCAATGCATTTGTCATTTCTTGATTTTTATTACAAACTTGGGCTGCTGTTCTTTCCATACAAGATTAACTCTACAATTAACAATCATTTATAATCGTTTCAATTGCTGCAACAAAAAGCAAAGACTAATGTGTTTCTGGAAGCTTCAGTTACCGTGACAATAAATGAATAAAGAAAAGTCTTGATGGAAATACAACATCTGACCGCAGCCCTCCCGTTCCCGACCTCACAAACATGTTTGAAATGAAAGTCCTATCAGTATGTGCTCGCTTGTGTGCTCTCCTAAGCCTCTCCCTTGCGCCCCAGTCTTTTCACACTCCACTAGCTCACATTCATGCATTAGAGCCGCTTTTAGACCGAATTTGCTTGTTCATTCGCCCCGACAAAGTGATACGGTTTTAACAGATTTCCTCGACAGTGTGCGCCACGGTGACTTTCGGGGATTACACCTCTTTTGGATTTTTTATGCTTCTGGTACATTCAAACTATATGATCTTTTTTTTTGGGAAAAGAATTGGCATGGCAACCTCGCACAATGATCGGTCCCAAATAGTACAATACAAAAAAAAATAGAATGGGATTGATGAAATGCTGGCGTGTAGAAAGAGACAGAGTGGAGGGGGGCGTGCGGGAGAGGGGCTATAGCGGGACCTTGACCAGAGCCGATCAAATCAAAGTGGAAGCATATGGAAAGTGTGTTATTTCGTTTATACCCGAACGCACATGGACTGGCCAAAGCACGGCGAAAGCGAGAGAGGCAAGGAGACTCAGCGAAAGCCACATGAAAAGAAAATTGATACGACTTTCATTTCGCAACCCTACCCCTTCGACCATCAAAAATCATCTTCACGTTTGGAAACTTTTGACCTGCTTTTTTTGGTCCGCTGTCAGTTCCTATTCACGCCAATTCTGTTTGATAGGAGTATACAGTGCTACGGAATACATTGTGATTTCCATTGAGCGAGTGGCGATGGCGTAGGTTATACATTGGGAATGAATTTCTACGTAGATTGGGTGGAGAGAAGGCGGCTTGCTTACATGTGTTGATGCATGAGTGCAAAAAATCAAGATCTGGTGGTATATACGCGCAGGGAAAAGTTTGAGCGAGGCCAAAATGAGCCATACTGTCGAATATAAGTACAAAAAATAGACTTATCGCTGACACATATCCAAAATCCCTTGTGGACATTCAGTCATACAATGTTTACAGTGTTGAAGTTACTGAGAAAAAAAAAATTGTGTTTCAAAATAAAGTATTGTTTTCTTTACTCCATACCATTTTCGTATGCTGGTGGAGGGATTTTTTTGTTGTTGTTATTATTATGAAATATTTTTCTGTATTTTTGAAATTGTGAAAGCCACTCCAGGATATTTTGAATTGCAGATCAGTGCCATTTTTTGTTTCTTTGCCTTTTTTTGTTTTTGTTTCTAAATGTTGTTGGTTTGGTGAAGCTATCCGCGTGTGGATATAAATTTAGATTTTGAATTTTTTTTTTTTTTAAAGAGGACTTTCTGCAGGGGAACCTAATGGTCTAAAATGGTGCATACCTTTTCTGAATCAAATGAGAATTGTTGTTTTTTTGCCCTTTCGCTCCTCATGGTTGGTTGAAGGTCTTGTGATGGCACTTACCAATTGTAATTTGGCATCATACAGTATACATTTCTTCATATTTCACAACTTTCACTCACTCTTTGTATTAAAAAAAATGATAGTTTCCTTCCTTGTTCTTATTCGGGGGGAGTGCATTGTTGTGAAAAAAGTGGTTTCTAAACAGTCCACGTTATGCTGTTTGGGACATATATGTATTTTTGTAATGTGTTGAAAAATCAATACAAGAAAGCCAACACTTCAATAAATGTTGCAATTGCTCTATGACTGACAGTGTTCTTTGCATTTTATTCGTTTCAATGATTATCACATTATGTTCTGCACTTATAAATTGTAAAGTAGTTATTATAAGCCCACACATTAAGTTAAATGTTATTGTATAGGCATAAGTTGTGGAAATCAAGAACAAAAATAAGAGTTGTTTCCATCTTGTATTAAACCTTTAATTCAAGTCAATTCAATTAAAAGTATTTTTGTAAACCTCTAAATCATAATGTAGTCATCTTGGAGGACTTTACAAAGTTTTTGACTCCCCAACACAGATCAAAGACACAAACACTTTGACATAGAAGTCATTGGTCCATAAGGGGTGGATGACCATCGTCCATAATTAGTTGTTAAAAAATGTCCATAAAAGCCCTTAAATGTCCTGGATATTCACTGTCTTTAGATCGTCCTGCATCGGCAAGGAACAACTCAGTGGGGAAAAGGTGAGAAAACTCAGGGAGGCCCATGTTGGGGGAGGGTTAGATCAAGGACTCAAGCCGCAGGTGCAGATGAAATAGACTGGATTCAGGCGTCCCAACATCATGCTATGAAACAGACAATGGGACAGCGGGTGAAAAGCAAATTGAACTCCGGTATCTATCTGCTCAATGTTAGGGAAAATACTGGGAAGTCTTTCACAATCCTTTACACAATATTAAAGTGTAATGAAAAACATAAACAGATGAGAACAACTTGTTTTGCACCGTTGGACATAGACCATATTGCTTTTTAGAAATTCCCAACCAGGAAAAAGTACTTATCTTCAATGTTACTGAAGAACCTCAGACCTTCAGTCAAGATTGAGGCAAACAAATGAAATAACAGTAATCATTCCCTGCCCTTCCCTGAGTAAAAGTACATAAGTGCAAGCTTGTGTACGTAGGTAAAAAGAGTGCAATGTATTTCCATTGATGAATTTCATCAAATACATCTATTTGAGACATTGGAATATTACTTAAGTAATGTTACTCCATTGTAGACATGTTTCATACGGCGATAAGCTACAACTGTAACCAAAGCTGCCCTGGGGCACACTGACAGAAGCTAGGCAACCAGTATGTACCATCAGCTCCTCTACTCCATCCAACCACAGGGGCTCCACTGTGGCACCTGGTGTTCCCGGAGGTCTCCCATCAACGTAATAATCAGGGGCTGCCCTCCTTAGCTTCAGAGAACAGTATCTGGCTTTCACATGCAGGTGGTGCATACGCTGTATGATGTAGCGTGAATGACTCCGTACACTTTGAAATGACGCACTCACATGAGCCAATAAAAAAACATACCGTGAATATGTTAATTGTAATGACCAATAATCAGACACTTTTTTATTTGACAATATTTTTACTAAAATGTATTGAAATATATGAAATAACTATTTTACTCAAATCATATTTTGAAAAAAAAGCTAATCTGGGTCAAAACATTTCCGCAATGCAGCCATTCACAGTAATGGATGCATTAATGTTTGTTGTTTACCCTTTTTCTACCAATATATATTTATATATATTTATATATATACAAACAGCTCAACACAATCAACATTGGAGATAAATAGGTTTGATGGAAAATAGATCCAATGTTTTTCTAATAGTAATTTCATACTTTTTACTTTATTTACCTACAGTTTTCCTCTTCAATTTGTTGGTTATTTTTTCTTGGACTTATTTATGTTTATACTAATGGTAAAAAGGCGTCATTCCACAATTAGCTTTCACTTCCACACACCATGTTGCGATGACATTTTCTTTTCATCGCTGGATTACATTTATCTGCACATCTAAACAGATCATCCCAGAGTCAGAAGAACTGCATTCTTTATTGACACCGTTACTAACCATAATATTTCTGGACAAGTTGAGGCAAACATAATCCAAACCTCTGCAACTGCTACTACTGTGCGACTTTGGAACTATTGGAAAAAAAAAAGTCATGCAAATTTGAACATGAGTCATGGAGGAGGGTGTTTGTGTGCGCTGTTGACAAGTCAGGCTCATACTTCATAAATGAGTTTTGGCACAGACGGAGGGGATCCATCAGGTATACGCTGGTCTTGGGCCAATTCTAGTCAAAGCCTGTGTCTGCTCCAGCCTCCAGGACATAGCAGGGCGACCGGAGTATTTATGATGAAGACTACACAGGGGGAAAACATGGAGGGAAGGAACAAAAGAAAGAACTGTCTGAGAAAGTCCAAAGTTTTTGTCTATGCCAACTTTCTCCACTGTAAATCCGTCAAACCGGTTTCAGACGCTTTTCTCACATGTTAGGACTAACATTGAAACCACAAACAAATAACTATAGTCATGCAATTATCGAGGGATTAGTTCCTCGCTCTCAAAATGCTTCGGATCCAGCACCAGTTTTCACATAATTTTTGGCCTCTGTCACATTTATAGATCAGCGTTTTCAGAAAAGTAAAAAAAAAAAAAGGAACCAGCCCAATCAGCCAATCAGCTCTCAGTATGTAGAAAAAAAGTTAATAAATTGTAATAGGATAAAGATAAAGACAAGAAAATGTGTTTATAAATGAATCAATCTTTATTTATGAAGCACTTTTCGTATAAAAGACGCACAGTGATTTTTAGATTATTATAAATATTGTTACGACCATTGTTCTACATCTATTTATTGTGAATGGCAACAGTGTTTCAGGGAGAACTGGGTGCATGTGCATGTATAGAAAGATAGATGGATGGATACTGTTTATTGATCCCCATATATAGGAAAAAGGCATGTGTCCTTCAAAAAGAAGAAGAAAATAATCACAGATCAGTGAATTCATTTTCCATCAAACAAACATGCCTGAGCAAATCAATCTCATGTAATAGATTTAAAACGGTTGGTGTGTTTCAGCAATTAGGTTACAGGTATACACTTTGCTTTTTGCATTTTGACCCATCCTTCCAATGCCAAAACCTGTGATCGGATTAACTGCAGTGCCAGGTGTAAGAGAATTAAAATGATTCAATAAATTTTTCACTAAAGTACTTTTACTCCTCACCTTTAAACCCAGATATTTGTACTTTCCGCTCCTTACTCTTCAAAATGACTAGTTTCTTTGCATATAACATACTGTAAGTACTTCTTTTCACATGTACTTAAGACATACTGTACTACCTCAATGGGTCCTTCAAGTAAACATAGAAGTAGTGGTGGCAGCAGTAGGAAGTGATCGGGAAATATTATACACACTACATTCCGCAAATATGTTTTTAGTACATCTAAGATTTGGTTTTGTTCTTTTGTTTCCAAAACGTGTAAGTCTGTTTGGTAATTCCTCCACCTCTGCTGTGCTTTGACACAATGTTTGTCATTCTTCGCAAAGCCTTATTATGACTGCGGCAACCGCTGGTGTGTGTGGCGGACATCTGGGTGCCATGTCGGAGAGTTTGGTCAGCGAAAAGTGCTGAAGACGGAAGATCCCACAAGTTGGGTCCCATGCAACAGCGACATAAAATAGAAATTGCTGCAGATTCTCAGCCACACATAGGAAGGGACTGAGACATGGAGCTCATAATAAAAACATGAAGTTAAGTTTGTGGTGCAAGTAGAAGAAGTATTTGCTGACAATGGGAGCTATTCATACATAAACAATATTGGGATTTGCATTTTCTTGTTGTTTTGGCCATATTTTGGAGCCATATATCCAGATTTAATTGTGTTTTCCGTTTGTATAGCCATGACATAATTGAGCCACTCCAAGAAGATCCCAAATGTTCAGTTCATGTAAGGTGGCCCAGGAATTTACAGGCACTGAAGGCTTTTTGCCAAAACTAATTGGCAGCTTTACCATCAGAGAGGCTAAAGAACCTCATCCACAACTACCACAAAAAACTCCAAGCTGTCATTGCTGTTAGACACGCTACTGAGAACTGGGGGATGGAAACTTCTGATCAAGGTCTGATCTCCATCATAAAGAAATCTGAAAGAAACAGAAAACACGATTATTGGAAAATAAATGGCAGTAATACATTTCAGTAATACCAACATGGCGGAGGTCGGTATTGTGGTTGGAAGGGTAACAGGTGCATCACTTTTATCGGTCCCCACAACAGCCATAGTCACATTCAACACAAAAAGAATAAACTGGTATAAAATCTCACACACAATAGACCAAAACTGATACCAAAAACCTTACATTGACATAAACAAATACACACTGCCTCAGACTCCTTCAAAGGCGTTAGCAGTTTGCAGATGCTGATATTGGAAACGACAGCGCTCTTTTTGCAGTGGTGAGCTCTTTTCATTTGCCTGAATCATGGGAACGGCCCTAACTCCTGCATGACCTGCTCATCAGCCACATGTAAGGCATTAAGCAAAGGTTAGGAGGAAGCAGCCAAAGGTCTCCTCCGCTTCGAAACTTTTAACTCCATATCATCACACTAATCAACGTGACATGTCAGAGAGAGTTGTCTTTTGAATCATTCTTCTGCCTGGAGCATCTTCCAGTGCGGCGGTCCACACACACCACTGTTTGTGCTACAATCAGAGAGTATAGAGGCCCAGTTTAGCGTCTTTATTTCAACTTGATTGGATTATCACAATGTGTTTTGAGATGGACCGCAAGTCACTTTGAAAGATGTTATTTTGGATGCTTGTATGATGTTTGTCTACAGCTGGCTCATGTAAACACTCCTCCAAAACACCTGCAACAATCAGTTTTATAATTCTTTAAATATTGCTAGCAACATATTTATCTTTCTTATCTCTATACCTCTCTATATGTCTTACTGCAATCTAGTTCATCTTATTATTATTAGTATGCAATAGTGTAATACTTATGTAACGTATTTTTACAGACCAAGGTCTCCCAAAGCAATGTTCAGAGTTCAGATATTGTTCCATTCTCTCCACACACGGTGATGACGGAAGCGAGACGCCGAACAAACTGGCACATCTAAGCCCCCGACCAACACCATCCATTCACTCACTCATTACATGCAGACACAGGGAGAACATGCAAACTCCACACAGAAATGTCTGGAAGTGGAAGCAAACCATTACTGACAAAATATGTAAGAAAAGGTTTTCGGCATGATTTTTCCTGGCTGGAAATAATTGAGAAGGACTGCCGTATGCCATAATTAAACAAGTAGTATTTTTTTATGTTTTCACTGAGCAACATTTCAAGTAAAGAATGTACATCTCTATCACAAGAAGCAGGTTTGGGACCATGTCACAAAATGCAGTTCTCCACCCGGACAGTTGAGGAAAGCACCTTTACTGGAGAAAGCCAGAGGTCAACTATCTGCAAAATGGTATTTTTTATGCAAAAAAACCAATAAAAGAATTGAACTTGTCTGTAATATCCAGGCTATATCCCTCTTGCCTTAAACCTGTTGATCGGGCCTGCATGTGCGTGTGCTCCCTCTTTGTGCCCACGCAGCGTCGTGGGAGAACACTGTCCTTGAGCGGCCGCTGTACTCTCCCCCCACAGGCCTGGCCCTCAGCGGAACAGGGGAAATCATGGTGCTCAGTAAAACCGCGTCCTCACAGAACAGGGTGTCAGCAGGGATTGTGGTCATCGTCCCAGGCCACACACCACCGCTCCGCTGGATCACAGGGCTCCGGACCAGGCCTCCTCCTCCGGGACAGCAGTCACTAATCTCTCCCCCCTCGGCTACGGGATAGTGACGCCAGTGCGACACCGACCAGAGTAAATGTGGGCCATATGCTGTGTGTGGGAACAGAGCGGAGGACACAGAGATGAGGAATGAACCAGCGGCAGTTTTGCAGGGGTGGTCAAAAGATGCACTGCAAAAAATACAACACTATAAAGACAGTAGTATTTCAGGATGCGCTAATAGTAGCAATATGTTTGACTTTTACATGAACACAACTCTGTGACAAAGACGGTTTTTAGGTTACTGGACAAAATGAAAGAGCGTGTGATGTTTGGACAAATTAGAGTAAGTGATGTTTTTGTAATTCTTGGACATCTCTAACATCAGCATTACCTTCAAATGCAAGAATCAACCGGGAATCAAACCCAGGTCCCATGCCACCCTTCGATTGGGTCATTTGATGATTTGACTATAGTGAACTCTGAGCATAAGTGGTGAGTAACAATCAATTAATAACATCAATATGATTTGTGAAAAGTTTGGGAAACAAAACAAGTTATCATATCCAAAACAAATTTATAAACAATTAATTAATCATTCATTCACTTTTAAGTTGTATTGTTTTTTTTGTTTTTTTTTACAAACAAACACAAGTCAAGGTTAGAAACTAGAAATGAAATGTGACGAGGGCCTCCACCATGTCCTCTTTTTGGTGTCATACTTACTGTTTGTTGAAATTGAGAATATACCCATGGAAATATAGGCTTAGTGTCAGTATGAATCTTTTTACACATTTCTCCTCAACTACAGCTGAAACTGAAACTTCTGTAATTCAACTTCCAACGTGAAAACTAATATTCATTACTTACAAAGTCATATATACAAAGTCTGTATTTGTTTTAATGTTGATAATCGCCTCACAACTTCAAAAAAGTCCAAATGAAACATCTCAACATTCCAATCAGAATATGTATTTATGTATTATATAATAAGAAAAGGCTTGTATGTGTCACTATGCAAGCAATAGGTCCATATCATAAATTGGTTCAACATTTTTGGTTGAATTAAAGAAATAGATGTAAAGATATTATAATGTTTTGAGTTCCATCTGTGTATCCTCCCTCACAATGCTTTTTTAACACCACTACAGTTTTTAGTTGTTATTTTTAGAGTGCAGAGTGCAGTCTGGTGGAGCGTGGCCAGTCCGCAGCTGGGATGGGGCAGTGCTGTTCCTCTGGGAGAACATGACCCCGAGGTACAAAGCCGTGTGGTCGCATTGAGAGTCTAAGTACAGGACGGGGCGACCGGAGGAAGAGCCTCCGCGCCACACTCTGGGAGGGATGGTCATTTGGGGTGAAGCTGTGTCATCGAGCATCAAAACGCTACTCATCTCCGAAGAGAAATGACAAATTATGGTCGGCTGGAAATGCCACAGGGTGATTTATGACGGCTGTGACTGTACAGGGACGCCTGAGACTTCTGCAGCACAAATAAACATGTTTATCTACTGCCTTTGGAGATGTTTGCAAATCTATATACACTTTGAGGTTTATATGTGTTTGCTTCAGTGACATTGGTGAACATAATGGGTTGGGGTTGATACGATTTTTATCAAGCAAATTAAAAGATAACACAGATGGATACAGTTTCATGCTAAAGTTACAGCCACAATACAGAGAACTATGAACAATTAGATTTTTGTATTGTTAGAATCAGAATCACTGGAATCTTAAGCAGTGAGCGGGTCGTTTCTTTAATGCTTCATTTTGAACAATCCATCCATCCATCCATTTTCTTCCCATCAATCCATTTCTGGGTCGGGGGGTGGCAGTCAGAGCTGGACCCAGTACACAGAGCACCAGCCCCTCACTGACAGGTGGTGAGTCCACAGGAGCCTTGATTATTCAGCAGGGGCTTCAGGCAAAGTGGCGTTAAGTGTCCTTCCCAAGGACACAAGGACAGCAGTCATCAGTGGGAGAAGTAGGTCTTATGGTGGGCTCAAACCAACGACCTTCAGGCTCTAAGGCTCTACCAACTGAGCTACAGTCGCCCCTTTTTGAACAATCAATTTCTTTAAATGTTTTATTGCAATGTGAAATACTTTTGGTAAATCTGAAACCCATGGACATGCTCAATTGGCCCTTTGTATGGAGGATATTCTTCCCTATGCTGTTGACTTTATTCCATTAAACACATATATGGCAGGTTTTAAGGATTAGAAATTTCACCATTTTCAGATTCTTCACAACGTCACAGATTTCAGATGAAACTGTGTGTTTAAGCATAACCTGTGACACTGTGGAATAATAAACAGATTATGATGTGTTACGTTGAAATAGTTTTGGTCCAATTTGCCTAGTTAGTAATATCCCAAAGTTCAGGATCGTACTTAGATGAGGGTGGGAACGTAGACTGAACGCTAAATCGAGAGTTTTGCCTGTCGGCTCAGCTCCCTCTTCACCGTGTGTCTCAGCCTCCATCCTTCTCTCACTCATGAACAAGACCCTAAGACACTTGAACTCCTCCACTTGAGGGAGGTGCTCTCCGTCCACTTGGAGAGTTGCACTGTGGCTTCAGATTTGGAGGCACCTGGATGCGCCAAAAAAAAGTGAACAGAGCTGGTGACAAATGTCAGCCTTGGTGGAGACCAACACACACCAGGAACACACAACTCTGCTTCAGTCTTTCAGGGTCCTGCAGTCTAAATGACTTTCCTTCGAAGACTGGTTGGGCGCTCTCTTAGAGATATGGTGAGGAGCTTAGTCACAAGAGATGGGCTCGGAGTAGAGCTGCTGCTTCTCTGCGTCGAGAGGAGCCAATTGAGGTGGCCCTCCCAGGAGAGGTGACCCTGAGGACTCGTTGGAGGGACTATATCTCTCCGCTGACCGCGGGTTCTCCCTGATGAGTATGTAGATAGGGCTGTCTGGGCATCTGTAAAGACTGCTGCCCCCCTGTCCCAGGCAATGAACAATGTGGAAGAAAATAGATAGATTTACAAATCCAACATGGCATGGTCTATTTTCAAGACAATTGTAAAGAACATCATTATCTCCGAAGCATAATTCATATGACGCCATAATCTAAGAATTTGGGCAAAAGAGGAAAGAGTTTGTAGCAGAAGGGAACAATGTTGCAACATGGTAAAACACTCACAAAAAAGTCACATTTGTATATATTTATGTCCTTTATAGAAGAAATATAGTTACATGATTATCCCAGTGGTTTCTGATATTAGCGGATTTCCATCGTACTTCCCCTTTCAAATAAAAAGTCACTCCCATGCCACTTTTGTTTCTACATTTCTAAAAAGACCTCCCAGGTGTTTTCTCAGGCAGGTACAGAACTCTCCCATCTCTCTCCTCCTCCCTCCTCTCCCCATTATCTGCCTCGCGGGGGTCTCTCTCTACTGTCACTGTTGACTTTGGACACACTCTCGTCGCGGCTCAATATCAAATCTTCTCATTCCATTTTGGACTGTTATTATGTCGTAAAATCAAACAGTGCGCCGAGCCGTGGCCCGCCAGTGCGATCTGCTTTCATCAAGTGCAGACTGGCATAATTATACAGCACTAGCACCCGTCTTTCACTGGGCAGCTTTCCCCTTCTGCTCCTTTAAGCCATCACATTCTTTCATTGTGCACTAATCACAAGGCAATTGGGGCCGTTTTTTTGCAGCAGCATGGCCGGGGGGAGATTACGACACTGGTCTGAGCACATCCAACGTGAAGATTGGGAGCTATAGAAGCAGGGGAGCGGAGAGTTTCACAAGGTAATGGAATCTGATGCCGGCTGTACCATATTTCTGTAAGCTTAATGATATGGTTCTCGGTATTCACTTGTAAGCAGGAGAAAGGAGTAGCTGTTCGGGGGGATGGAGATGACTGCGTGAGGTCAGAAAGAGAAGTGCAACAGGTATAATCAGGGAGTATAAGTGGGGCATGATCTGGGGGAAAATTGTGAATAAATCTTAGTCTTTTTATACTCGAGCTGTCAGTCAAGAGACGTGTCATCTAAGAAGGAGTGGAGTTGTTTTACCCTAAGTGATGGTCACACCGTGTTGAATTACTCAAACATCTCAAAATGTCACGCACGCAAAAAATAAACGAATAGGATTCAAAACATGCACACACACACTTTGACCCTACATCCCTCTTCCACAACTTATGTGTTTATATCATCTGTTAAATTGTTCCAAATGTTACCTCAAATGAGATGCAATTTGATTCTAAAGTAGCTATAAATGTAAGAAAATATTTGTTATTTCTTCTGTAATTATGGGGATCATCTCTCTAATGGAACACATTTTGGATCACGGGAAAACAGAGTGCAAGAGTCAAATTGTCAAAAGTTCTATGATATTGGATTCATTACTTGTATGTATTGCCCCAGTAAGAAAATGTGTCCCCTCGTGCAGTGCCACTACTTCACCTTGGGCCAGGACCAGAGCTTGGGGGTTTTATGCATGTTTCAGGTTGTGGGCGAAACCAGAGAAAGTAAGTAAGTAATCTTATATTATATTATATCTTATTTATTTAGCACATTTTTACAGACCAAGGTCACCCAAAGTGCTTTTACAATGAGAGGCGATGACGGAAGCGAGACGCCAAACACACTGGCGCATCAAAGCCCCCAATCAAACCCCATCCATTCACTTTCTCATTATATTCATACCTTTTGTGCATGTTTTTAGTGGTAGGGGAAACCGGAGCACCTGGAAGAAACCTATGGAAACACAGGGAGAACATGCAAACTCCACACAAACTGGGATTCAAACCTAGGACCTTCTTGCTGAGAAGCCAGAGTGCTATCCAAACTCCAAGCCCAGATTGACACGGTAATCTAACCTTCTTGCAGTGAGGCGTGAGCACTATACTGAACCACTGTGCCACTAGCAATGTCAAAAACTATTTTCAGAAATAATATTATGCTGAATTATGATGTTGTTTAGTATCAATGCATACAGTATATTCAGCGCAAAATGTATCAAATAAATAACCCCTTACATATGTCACACCCCTATCACAGGCCAAATTATTTCAAGCCACAGAACATGGCAGATTGAATTGG